GCCGAACAGCCCCGACTGTCCGGTGCCCCGCGGTAGGCAGAGCCAACCGCTCTTGCCACGCGTGCACCACGGACTGCCGGGCCTGGCGCTTCAACTCGCCCCAAGCAGGTTCCTGCACACCCGGGACCGCCCCCACCCCCGCGCGACGGTCGACGCGGTGACGATACATCATCGCGTGCGACCGCGCGAGGAGATCCATGGGCGGCATCCCCGCAAGAACCGTCGCCGCCTCATGTGACACGGTCCGGTACCCGCGGACGACCCTTAGAGCCATCCGCCTCTGCACCCGACCCCGACGGCCACCGACTGAACCATTGCCACATAGAGGCGGCGAACTCGGCCCGCCGGGCCCCCCAGGTTGGGCAGAATCCGGCCCAAAGCCCCGACCATCCTCTCCAGCGGGGGGACCAGGCAGCGGAAATGCTCCTCGAAGCGCCAGTGGCTATCGAGGATCAGCCCCAGATACCTCATCTGGGGCTTCACCTCGATATTAGCCTCACCCACCCGGATCAGAGGGGGTGGCGGATCCTGCCGAGGTGAATGGAACGCTATCACCTCGGTCTTATGGACCGCCACCGTCATCCCCATCCCTCTGATCCGGTCGACGACGCGTTGCGCCCCCTCCTCCGCGAGACGCTTGGCCCTCCCCCAGTGCGCCCCGACGGCCAGCACCAGTGTGTCATCTGCATAACACACGGCGCTGACGCCGTCGGGGAGGTCGGCCCGCAACACTGCGTCGTACGCGATGTTCCACAGGAGTGGCCCGAGGACCGACCCCTGCGGAACACCGCAGTACACCTCCCTCCGTAAATGTCCATCCCGGCCCGGATACTCGATCCACCTGCCGCGGAGATAATCCCCGATGACCGCCCCGAGACAAGGGGGGGCCCGATGATATTCGAGCCCCCTCCTTATCTCCTCCCAGGGCAGGGTGTTAAAGGCGTTGGCAATATCCAAGGATATTGCCAAAGCCACCCCTCCCCGGGAGACGGCCGACTCCGAGAGGGCCCTGACACGACCTATCGCGTCGATGGTCGATCGACCCTCCCGGAAACCGTACTGGCAGTCGGCCAGGCCGGGGGCACCCCGCGACAGGGAAGCACATGGCCTGCTTCAGGCATTCCTTGTTTTCTACATTTCTAACATTATATACATATGTATATATCGGACACATCCCTCGCAAACAGGCTGCAAACATTAATGAGAACAAAACTGCAAATCTGTCCTTTTTAAAAACCCCGCAACTGATCTTTGACTCGCAACTCGTCCTCTTCATTTAGCAATTATAATAAACGTAGACTCATTAAAATTCGTAAAAATAACAAAGTTATAGCCATTTAAAGGGAAGAGTACCCAACGGTTAATAATCATACCAGAAATTTTAAATGCGTTTTTCTCGAAACCATATTTTCGAAATTGGCTGACATGATATCACAAATTCATATTGATTAATGGATTTGAAATTTATAGAGACATGCCTGTATGTTAGAAATTTTGCCTTTGACGGGTCTGGGGTAAGTCCTGTGCCGTTCCTCACAGTGCTCTTACCGGAAAGTCCCACGCCTTCCCCACTCCGTGGCCAGATCCTTCAGGACAAAGTCTTTATTTTTTCCAGCAGTACGACGTCAGGTCGTCTGCCTTTTAACTACTCTCTGCCCATTTATAAACAATCAATGCCTCGACACGCGCTACTTGGAGACCCAACGCGGTCGTCCGTTATCGCGTCACCCGTTGCCAGGCCTGTTTAGTCTCATAGCGTCTCTGGAAAACAAAAGCCGATCCCCTATTTCGGGGGAATGTCCACGCGTCGCGTCCAACCATTATTGCCGTGGCGAAATCGACTTTCTTGCCTTCGCCTTCGAAAAAGATTAAGCAAAAGAGTTTCCTTCATTGAAAGAAGAAAAATTTTCCAGTCTCTCATTTTCAGTAGGGGCGGTCTGAACTTCCATTCATGTTCATATGATTGATTTTTATGAGTCAGCGTTTTTTTAAATTGCTAAACAAAGAGAACAAATAGGACAGTATTTTAAAATTTTTTCAGATTTACAAATTTAAAATTATATTGAAATTCATTTGGTTGTTCAGACTCAATCGTATTAATAGTATAAATATATGAACGCACGCCATTAGCATAGTAAAAACATGTCTTTTTTTTAATAGTTAAAATATGATCAGAGGGTCCTAAAACGTGTATTTCCGTAAAAAAATTTTTGAAATTTTTGTTTCATTATGGTTTTTGCTTATATACGCCTACATAGGTCGGAAAGTAAAAAATGCCTGGGCAGTCGAAAATCTCGGCTCGAGATTATGCGAGATCGAATTTCAGCTGTGTTGAGAGCAAGAACGATAGACTCACATTCGCCGCCTTTCTCGAATCCTCGAAGAGATACGAAACGCCAGAACTCATATACAAGGTGGTTGGCATTAGTGTGTGTAAGTGGTGGGGCAGCTCCCTTTGGGCACGGGTCTGCCATCTGATAATACTGCACTGTCTTTTTCAATCCCTCCCATAGTCAACTCACATGTATTTACGCATACACTACAGCTGGCTGCCCATCAATACTAATTCAGTGCCTAGTTTCTCAACTGACCGCCATCCATGAAAAGAGGCCGCTAAAATCACCTCCGAATTTTCAGATCGGTATGGCAGTCAGATTCGGCCGCGAAAGTCCATAAGGTGAAAGGTCTATTCATATACCTCGTCTGTGCTTTTTTCAACTTATACACAAGGAGTATCACGGACGAACTAAACGGACATTTAAGTGGGCAAGAACTTACGTAGACACTACTGTAGTTATTATAATAATAATAAGCTTTAGACACTGTTTATTAATTAGATGAATGAATTCGTCTTGAAAAGTATTATCGCATGATCCAAAAAAAAATATATAGTTCCATTTAAAAAACGAAACTTTACCATTGTTTAAATATCGAGTAAAATTCGAAATTTAATTTAAATCCGAAACAAGTCACCCGGTTTGTTTTCGGTTACGCGACCGACCAGGAAGATTCTATGTCGACGCGTCCGCTATTCGAAACATTAGAGGACAGAAAAACACGGTTCTCGAGGTTTTCTGTAAAGTCACGCGAACGATAAATTAACGTTCGATTTCGAAGCAAGCGGTTTAAACGCCCGAGTTTAGAGAAGGTACGAAAATTCTATGATAGACAGAGACGGACGAGAGACACGGCGACAGCGCCGCGTGACGGAAGACTCTCCCCCCTCACGCGCTCACTTTCGGCAGCTCGTGCTCGCCCGTCACTCGCTATCAAACCACTGCCACGAGCACTTTGGTACACGAACACGCTCAGCAGTTGCATAAAAGAATAATTCGAACATTCCGAACCGAGTCGAGTTCTTCGACTACCCTCGGAATTCCACAAGGAATTATCAGCGGGTTATCGTAGCGAGCCAGTCGGTACACGACCGAGCTCGGTAGTTAAAATTTAATTTGGAATAGACTCGAAGTTCTTCGAGTGCTTCCGGGGAAACGATCCCATAATCCAGGTGCGGGAAGAAACCCTGAGTGGATCAATCGCTTCCCCACGGATAGAGGTTTAAACTCAATCCCAATTTATAGGTGCGAGGTTCTTCGCGCTTTTCTTAGGGCACGACTCCATAATCCAGGTGCGGGAAGAAACCCTGAGTGGAACCATCGTGCCCAAGAGGATCGAGGTTCAAATTCCTTCCTCCCATTGATTGTCAAAAACGGCTTCGAACCCACCATACAGGTGTGAAGAGTACCCTGGGTGGATTTGCCGTCTTCTAGTCGAAGCGGGAGACATTCTTAAACCCCAGCTATCGGCGAAAGCTAGGACACGTCTCAATATCGCCAGTGGAGTACGGTCACTGCGCGTAGGACGGCGACTCCGACAGCAACGTGGTCTCAGGTCCAACAGTAAGTCGCCCTAAGGGTGCCGTTGACAAGCCTGCACCACACGGTGCCCGTACGCACATACGAAGGCGGTGAAGGGCCGGGGACCGGCTGAAAGGTTGGAGCCTTACAACCTCCCTCCGATCAACTTCTCCTGCGACAGTCAGAAATTGCAGTCGTGAAATTAGACGAGCAGAAATCTCGTACACGACAATAATAAGCGAGCGATTCCCGGTTTAACGGGAACGCTCACACATACAGTCCACTAGCTTAGCTGCGCATCGCGGCGGCTGAGATCCCGCTCCTGGGTGCGACAAGCACACACCAGACGAGCGCGGAAGAGAGTAAGACACACAGCGTGACTCACGTTCACAGGTATTTAACGCCTATTCGTGTCTCTTTCTGTTACAGATTTCCAAAACAGGATTAACTGCAGCGGCGTCTGGCCGGGCAGACAATTTCTTGTACACGTTTTTGTTCCCACAATTTGATAGGAATAAACGGCTTAGTCGAGACATTCGGCTAAGCGAAAATCAAAATTGAAATGTGCATTCTTTTCCCGACGTTCCTTCCCTCACGATCCGGACTACCGTTAGGCGAGGTTTTTCAAACCTACTCCCCCTAACCATCATATCTTTTAAATTAATAATATAAACAAAATTTTCGTTTACGCCAAAATAGAGATCCTATTTTATCCTGCAATTTACATATAAACAATTTTTTCGTATCATCAATAGTTATTGAAATATTGCGACTGTCACACTTTAGCGTGGACACCCTGTATATCTAACTAAACGTATGCTTCCTTAACGTAACGTAATAGTGATATTTACTATAGTATCATAGTGTAGGATCATACGGACCATGGAATGACAAAACACGTTGATATTTTGAAGAATGAATATATTTAACAATAACGAAATAAACGATTACAGAATTACAGAAATACAGAAATGCCTTGAACTACGCATCTCCACGTCTCGACGAGAACTACCTTATGCCGAACGTTTCTCGACCTCGTCAACTCGTCCGTTATTGCGACGCCACGGTATCGCTCGGGCCACCTGGGTCTGCGCGAGTCCTTTTTAGTCCCGCCGCCAGACATTAAACGCTGCCGCCGAACGCTCGCGGAACGAAGGCACACGGAAACGACACAGCCGCGCCCGAGAGCTTATCCTTTACGCACGGCCCTATGATTCTCTCTCCTCTCTCTCGAATCATTCTAGACACGCACTGAACCCACAATAGTTATGTATGTATAGAGATTATTTGATTTGTGGGATCGGGAAGATAATGACTCCGCCCTGTTCCGTTCCGCACAATTGTATTGTTGCTGTCGTACAACGACGTGACTCGTGGTGCGGGTTACGCTCGACTCCCTGGTACGATCATCGCCACCGTACCAAGAGGCCTTCAAAAACAAAAGACGGTCAGAGACGACGACAACGGCTTTTCGGCTCACGCGGCTCTGGTCGTCTCGTGTGCAACCATCGTCTCGTGTGCAACCATACATTGTAGCGGCTTCGAACGGCTAAGGCGTATGTGGTGCCTTGGCCGCCACACTACCCCCCTGCCAGTAATTGGCACAATTACGAAAAATTGACCGACTACATTACCACTACCATTTACTCTATTATATAAAATACGTTATCCTAACTAAGATTTACATTACAGTATTTGAACAGAGTTGAAAAAAAAAGGAATTTACATGGAGTTTAATATATAATACGTAATACCTAAAAATACATGAAAGTACATAAAAGTGATGGATAAAAATAAATGGTATATGATACTTATTATAATAATGCGCAAGCCTTAAGTACTACCGCGTAATTTGAAATCGATCGGGAAAACGTACGCGTCTACCTGAACGCGTAACACGTTGCTGTATAACCGGCGCATTGTCAGGTACGTTTGTTTGTGTGACCGGCTGATTTTCTATGCTCACGGGATCCGGTCTGTTTTCTGCTAGCATATAAGCAGGCTTTAGCCTTTCAATTGATATATTTATTTCCTTACCTCTAATGTTTATTGTAAATGTTTTTTCGCCTCGGCGCACTACGGCGTATGGACCTTCATAAGCGGGTTGTAAAATAGTTTTGGCTGAATCTGTTCGGATGAAAACATGTGTTGAACTGCTAAGATCTTTGAAAACGAATGTACGATTAACGGAATGGCGTGATGCATTAGAGGGACTCAATTTAGAAAAATGGTTGCGTAGTCTATTAGTAAAATCGGAAGCATTTTCTGTGCCTTCCGCTGAATGCGAAGACAAGAACTCTCCCGGTAATCTTAATGGCTCGCCATAAACTAATTCCGCTGAGGTAGCGCCGAGGTCTTCTTTCCAGGCGGAACGAATACCGAGTAGAACCGTCGGAAGTATTTCTGTCCACCTGTCGGATCCGTGGCACCTTATAGCCGACTTGAGCTGTCGGTGAAAACGCTCTACCATCCCATTGGCCGCTGGGTGATACGCCGTTGTGCGAAGGCGTGTGGATCCAATTAAATTGTTCAGCGCAAAAAATAATTTGGATTCGAACTGCCTACCCTGATCGGTGGTAATCCGTACGGGAGCACCAAACCGCGCTACCCAACCGTCATAAAAGGTTCGAGCTACGGTTTGGGCCTCCTGATCGACCATGGGGAAGGCTTCCGGCCACCGCGTATATCTGTCTACACAGGTCAGACAATACCTGAAACCTTCGGACACCGGTAAAATTACTATGTCTAAATGAATGTGTTCGAATCGCGCAGAAGGTTTAACAAATGTAGCCAATGGTGCAGTCACATGACGGGAAATTTTTGATCTTTGGCACGGTATACAGCAACGTGTCCACGTGCGAACATCTCTTTTAATCGACGGCCAAACATAACGTTGCGTTATGAGCTTGATCGTCGCGTTAATACCTGGATGTGATAATACATGTAACATATTAAAAACTGCACGTCGGAAAGGAGGGGTGACATAAGGTCTTACATTCTTAGTCGAAATATCGCAAAAAATTTCGGAAGACGTGCCAGGCAACGAGACTTTGCGTAATTGCAGGCTAGATTCGCTATTCAACAACCGCTGCAACTCCTCATCCTGGGCTTGCGATTTTGCCAATTCTTCGAAATTAATCGAGTGGTTAACCGTTTCCACTCTGGACAGTGCATCGGCAACGACGTTGTCTTTACCGGAAATATGTTGAATATCTGTAGAGAATTGCGCAATGTAATCTAGGTATCGGAATTGTCGAGGAGAGCATTTATCTAATTTCTGTTTGAAAGCGAAAGTTATGGGTTTATGGTCTGTAAAAATCGTGAAATGTCTGCCTTCGAGCATATGTTTGAAATGTTTTATTGCTAAATAGATAGAAAGTAGTTCCCGGTCGTAAGCTGAATACTTCTTTTCGGCAGATCCTAATTTCTTAGAAAAGAATGCTAATGGTTGTCGTTCGTTGCCGACGCACTGATGTAAAACAGCTCCTACGGTGTAATCAGAAGCATCGCAGGTAACCGACAATGGAGCGTTGACCGCAGGATGAGAAAGCAGGGTTGCGTTTGCTAAACTATTTTTGGTATTTTCGAAAGCCTGACGCGCTTCCGAAGTCCAGGCTATCGGGGTCTTGCCCTTTAAATTGCCGGCTAGAAGGTCGTTCAAGGGTGCTTGAAAGCGAGCGGCATCTGGGATAAAACGGCGGTAAAAATTAAGCATTCCCAAGTACTGCCTCAAATCCTTCGCGTTTTTCGGAAGGGGAAATGACTTTATGGCTTGTACCTTGCCGGGCAAAGGTTGAGTGCCGCTTTCATTTACCCGATAGCCTAGAAATTTAACTTCTTCCTGTCCGAACGTGCATTTATTCGGATTAACAACAATGCCATAATCTTTTAATCGTTTAAATAATAATTCTAAATGGCGCAGGTGATCGGCTTGGGATTCTGAGGCGACCAAAATGTCGTCTATATACGCGTAACAAAAATCGAAACCGCGTAAAATTTCGTCGATAAAGCGCTGAAATGTTTGCGCGGCATTTCGTAACCCGAACGACATGTACGGGAATTCAAAAAGCCCGAACGGCGTTGTAATGGCCGTTTTTCCGACGTCTTCCGACGCAACCGGAATCTGATTATAAGCTCGGACGAGATCTATTGTGGAAAATACCTTTTTGCCACTCAGTTGTTGCGCAAAATCCTCAATGTGACGCACGGGGTATCGGTCGGGAATTGTCCGTGCGTTTAACGCTCTATAGTCACCGCAAGGCCTCCAAGCTTCTTCGCCCTTCTTCGGAACCATATGAAGGGGTGCTGACCACGCGCTCTTCGAAGGACAAGCGATGCCCATCTTCACCATCGCGTCGAACTCCTTCTGGGCAGCCCTGAGCCGGTCCGGTGCAAGCCGCCGCGGCTTGCTGGAAACGGGTGGTCCAGGGGTTGTCTCGATGTAATGCACCGTTTGGTGCGTAGTCCTCATCGGGGTGCCGCTAGGCCGTGTAAGTTCCGGCATCTGCATCAGGAGCTGGTGGTAAACGGTAGTCCCTGCTACTGTCTTCACCGACGGCGTTTCATCCTCGGCTCGTGTTCCGCGGACCGTTAACGACGTGGTCCGATCGACGAGGCGACGATTGCGGATGTCCACCATAAGATCGAAGTGATCGAGAAAGTCTACCCCGATTATGGGTTTTGTAACATCCGCAACCACGAATCGCCACACGAAATCCCGTCGTAGGCCGAGGTGCAGGTTTAACGACACTGTCCCGTAGGTGTTAATTACACTCCCATTCGCCGCCGCCAGCTGGTACTCCGATCTTTCTCGCAATCCGCCTAGCAGGCGGCGCGGAAAAACGCACAAATCGGCCCCGGTATCCACTAAAAATTCCGTCTTCGAGCTGTTGTCTAAGATGAAGAGGCGGCGTGATGCTGGATTTGTGTCGCTGGCCGCCATCAACGACTCCCCAGGTCGTTTCCCTGATCCGTGGCGTTCCAATTGCACGGTGCAACGCACCTCTGCGCGGCCGGACCGAACCGCCAATGGTACCAGCATTTCCCTTGATGGTCCATTTGTCCTCCCGCGGGCCGCTCTCGCGATCGCGATAGAGATCGTCTGCGGTAGCGCGAGTTTGGATGATTTCGGTGGGTCCACCTGCGACGGGAAGATTGCCCCTGGTCCACCAAGGATTCACGGATGGCAGAAATTTCCTGCCTCAAGGAAAGAGCCAATTGTGACATCTTAATGTTTAACATGGCCTCGATGTTCGGGCCCGGCGGGGGTATTTGGCAGGATGCAGATACGCCCGTAATCGCTGCCTCCGTGACGTGTACCCGCGGTGTCATCGTATCCGCAACAGCGTCTGCCAACTCTGCCACCTTATCCAGCGGGGTGTCCCGCTGCGTGGCTAAAATCACCTGCATATTAGCAGGTAGTCGGCCCATCCAAAGCGTCCGCAATACACCGTCCGAAAAAGCCGTACCGGCCAATCCGCGCAGGTGACGAAGAAATTGGGACGGTTTTCTGTCCCCGATTTCCTCGTGTTCCAATAACCGCCGCGTTTTCTGTTCCTGCGACGCACTAAGCCGGCGAATGAACTCATTTTTTAGCGTCGTGTACGGATCCGCGGCCGGGGGATTCATGATAATGTCTCTTACTTCCGCGGCGTGTCGCGCACTTAACGCGCCGAGAATGTACCCGAATTTCGTGGTCTCCGACGTTACATTGGATACCTCAAAACTTCTCTCTACCATTGAAAACCACATCTCCGGGTCTCCCGGACAAAACTCGGATATCCGTACAGCGACGCGATCAACTGCCAACGGCACACCCGCGGATGTCCCTGCGTTAACGTTAGGGTCAGTCATTTTACCAGTCTTGGTCACAAAAAAAAAATAGTTTCACCGCACACACACACCGCGCTTACTATTTGTCAGACCGTGTCCTTTTCTTATATCCTTAACACTATACACTTATTTCTCTACCCTAACTAATATTGTCCGTATACGAAAAATGTCCAAATTTTCTTAAAAAAACTTTACTTGCGCGGCGAGATCACGTCGGGGTCACCAATGTGGGATCGGGAAGATAATGACTCCGCCCTGTTCCGTTCCGCACAATTGTATTGTTGCTGTCGTACAACGACGTGACTCGTGGTGCGGGTTACGCTCGACTCCCTGGTACGATCATCGCCACCGTACCAAGAGGCCTTCAAAAACAAAAGACGGTCAGAGACGACGACAACGGCTTTTCGGCTCACGCGGCTCTGGTCGTCTCGTGTGCAACCATCGTCTCGTGTGCAACCATACATTGTAGCGGCTTCGAACGGCTAAGGCGTATGTGGTGCCTTGGCCGCCACAGATTATTAATAAGTAGGTGAATATCTTTTAAATGAAAATTGTTCTTTAAAATCATGATTACATTAGAAAACTTTATTTGAGCATAAATGATTTAAAGTGCTTTTTCTAAATCTTTTGCCATTGTTGCTGTGATCTCTAGAGGCAGAACTTTTAGTGGTGCGCGTACAGGACCAACGTTAATATCTGTTAGAATAGACATAGCTACTTTCATAGTTTCCACCCAGTTACCTGGAATTTTTAATATTTCAATTTAAGTAGTAAAGCTAGTTAGATGCAACAGTACAATCTGCAAATAGTTTTACCATATTTTGATATAGCGATTACAGCTGTCGAAAGTTTTTCTTGTTTTTCTCTGGCTTCCACGCTATTTCCTGATTTTCCTTTTGCCAGAATTTCAATCGCAAGTTCTGGCAACATGTTCATGGATGTCGCTATAAACGAATCCATTCCTAACGCAGTGGCGGCACCCATCAACTAAGAGGAATATAATCGTGAAGGAATACGAAACAATAAATATGGAAATAAATCTGTGGAGGAATATATAACAAACAATGCGTACGTATCGCGCAAGTATTTGATTAATTAGTATATATGTTCGCGCTCGAAATGGTTGTGGTTGTATTGAAATGTATTTGGTTCGTGATTGAAAGTTTTTGAGATGTTTAGTTTGCAACAATAATAAAGTGGACTGTATAAATGTGTTATTGAGCGCGATGAACTATATAAGGAACTGTTCCTTCGTTCTACTTTAACAATTGCGTTCAAACTTTTCGGAGATAAGTTAAGAGAGATGTTCTCTTAAAGGACAAACTAAGAGTTGTTCGATCAAAAGACAAGTTAAGAGCGAGAGTGTTCGTCTCTCAAAAACCAAGCTAAGAGTACTGTTCTCTCAAAAGGCAAACTAAGAGTGATTGTCGTGCCCGGAGTCCGTTTCCTCCTCAGCTTAAGTCCCAACCAAGAGGTGGTTTGGGGATGGTTTTCAGATTCCTCTGTGGAATCCAGACTGTATTGATTGGCCATCGACTTGGGAGAGGAGGACCCATTTTCCTGTCCCATTTCGGCAGGAAACTCCTCCTGAACTTCGGTGGTGGAGGAAAGTCCCAGGCCACGCTGGCGAGGGTGGATGAGGTTTCCTCCCCGAAGTCGAATGTCGCGTTAATTTACCGAGGAAGAAACGGAACTCAGCGCAACAAGAGGTTGCGTCTGGTTTGCAGCTGTTTTATGGCTATATTGTTCCGCGTGTCGGCGATGACCTTTGTCGTCGGTGTCTGCATTTGGCCTCGACGACCGTACCACCCTCGGAACAATATAGCCCTTCGCTGGTCAACTCGAATGTAGCGTTTCTTTCATTTACCAAAATTCTTTTCTTTTACACTGAAATTTGCCAGATGTGGGAGACTCGAAGACCTTCGCAACGTAGTATAGTTCGGGCCACGATATAGCGAGGTCGTAAACTCGAGTAGGTGTCAAAGTTTACACGTTTCAGTTCTCGTAACAAGTGAATTGACAGAAATACGAGTTAAGGGCTTTAGACCATAGTTAGGGCCGTACGAAGAATTGTTTTATCTAGTGTCGCCATTTTTAGAGGTATCGTAACAGATAAAGGTCTTACTCGAGTCTTTAATATCTTAATTTACTTGCTTATAATATATGTATGTATGTAGAAAATGAAAGAAGGTACTGTTATAGGTTTTGTAAATGCGCGCGAATGGTGAGAGCGAATGGAATGACGAATGAGTGATGAGTGCGAAAGGATCTGAGAGAAAGCGAGAGAGAGAGAGAGAGGACAGAATATATAAAAGAAAATACGAGCCGCTGGAAACGACTCGAACTAGTAGAATAAGACCTGAGTACCAGACTAAGGAAAAATAGATCGGCCTTTGTACAACAATTTATTCAACAATTTATCCAACAGTACTATCCAGAGATGACTTGTTGGCTAGGCACCAACAAACTAAACGGGGCAAGGGCAAGGAGAGAAGGTCTACGCGCCGCCTTATTCCCACCATAGAGGCCCGCTCTGACGTCACTCTGCATAGTAGTAGGGTCTCCATAACCGCGAGAGATACACTTTTGTTCTATTCATGGCTAGTATTTTGAGCGTACGGGTACGCCAATGCCTCTCAGTCTTGTCCTATCCTACTCTGTCTCTATACGTTTCGTTCACGTCCTTTGTCACGCGTTGGAATTGTAGTTGTGAGCGACTCAGTCAATAATGACAATGCGTGTGAGAGGAGGCGTCGTTATTACGCTACGGCCAATCGGCGTGCGTAGTCATCAAGTCTTCGCTGTATAGTAGTGCAGTTACGGACACAGAAAGACATTCAGAAAGGTACCCTCAAGCAAGATGTCATGTACGGCCCTAAGTGCCGCAGCAGTAGTCAGTCCCAATTTTCAAGAGTTTAATTTACGACCTCGCTATATCGTGGCCCGGGCTATACCGATCCCGCATCTGGCAACATAAAGGACCGGAAACAACTCTAGTTGGCCAGCGGGATGTGTGTATTTCGTTTACCGAACAGTATTTCTAGCGTTTCTAATAAAATAAAATAAGGAGGTATAAAAACCATACTTGATCATTTCCAAGGAAGATCACATATTTGTTGTTATCAGCGTGCAATGCTTGTGCGCCTTCTTCCAAGTTAGCGCTTGTGAATTTGATACCCACGAAAGTTGGGATTTTTTCTCCTAGAGATTCAAGAAATTGTCCCATGTGCACTAGAAAAGAATCATTTCCATTAATTGTTACGTTATTTAATAGTCTTCCAAGTTCTCTTCGTTGGTAATGCCGAAAAAATTATCGATAAACATTGTAGGTGTGTGCAAAAAGGTTTTTATGGATTCTCGATGGGTGTCTGTATTGGTACCTTTTGTGTTTAAAGCAATAAACAATCTATTAAAGTTTTTTGTAACATTTTCAATTGTTATATACAACCTTGGTAATTTGTCTCTGAAATTCTACCGATGGTACACTAATTATTTTAAATAGTAACTTACCATTAACGTTAGTTAACATTGGAATGTGATAATATAGAAGTGGCGTGTTCGGAGCTGCGTCGCTGACTAATTTTAAATATTTGGTCAGTTGATCCGATGTGGTTGGTTTAAAGTATAATTCCGGTAAACATAATATGGAATCCGCTTTGATACTTTCGGCGTGTCTTGCCTGCAAACGAAATCGTTAATTAGTCACGATAAGAAGAGTTTAAATTTATGTAACATTTAATAAGATTCCATTAATTTTGTATTTATCAAATATTTTAGAACTATGCTGCTATAGTCCGGGCCACAATATAGCGAGGTCGTAAACTCGAGTAGATGTCAAAGTTTACACGTTTCAGTTCCCGAAACAAGTGAATTGACAAAAATACGAGCAGCTAAAGGCCTTAGACCATAGTCAGGGCCGTACGAAGAAATGTTTTATCTAGTGTCGCCATTTTTAGAAAGCCATTTTTAAAGGTATCGTAACAGGTAAAGGTCTTATTCAAGTCTTTAATATCTTAATTTACCTGCTTATAATATATGCATGTAGAAAATGAAAAAAGGTAGTGCAGTTACGGACAGAAAAAGACATTCAGAAAGGCACCCTCAAGCAAGATGTTGTGGCGACGCCTCCCATGCTCGCCACCAGAGGGGTCGCGCTCACAAGCGCTCGACCGACCCCTCCGTTGCTATACATATACGTGTATGTATACACTCCTCGAACGACTTCCCAATATCCCAGTCGTCTAAGGCAGGGCCTGCTAGAAAGCCTTATTGACGAGTCCACTGGCAGGCCCGGATGAAACGCGCCCCCTCCTTTCCTTTTCTGTCCTCCTACAAATTTTCTCGAGAAGCAGCGCCACAATGTCATGTATGGCCCTAAGTGCCGCAGCAGTAATCGGTCCCAACCCTCAAAAGGTTTAGTTTACGACCTCGCTGTATTGTGGCCCGGACTATACGATTAAATTACGTCTTTGCAAGTATGCATGTTACGATAGTTGTAATTTACACATACAAGTTCGAGAACATCCGGAAGTGGTGCACCGCCTACTTGAACCATCAAGTGTTGCTTTGTTCTTTTTACGGCGTTTGCCCATGCCTCGGTAATTAATTTCCTTTCAGTAACAGACATAGACGTACCTTCTCCGGTTGTTCCGTTTACTGTTAATTAACAATTACGTATTTTTATCGTTTGAAACGTTCCCCGCCTTTGCATGCTTTCAAATTATTTTGTAGTTTACAAAGGGAGTATACGAGCTTAAAACGTAGAACGAATCGAAACAGAGCCTAGAATATTAGTCAAATTTGAAAGATAACCAATTAATTTCGTTGTTATTTCAAAATTGCGAGTCTCGAAAAAGGAAATGGAAAGTTTTTGTTTCGAGTTGTCTTCTTCGTTGGGATAGTTGTTTTTATTATTTATTTATTAAGAACACGCGTTTTTTTATCTGCGTCTCTGATGCAAGAAAAAATATAATACGAATTTCAAAATCTCTATTTCTGTTTATAAATTCAAGAAGGAATATAATAAGAATATAATTTTCACTTACCAAGCACACCAGTGATCTTCTTTTTGGCTAAATATTCGGCATATTGTTCTACAATTGACAAGTTCAGTAATCTTTTGCTAGAATAAATATGGATGAATAATATTACACTTTTGGTAGAATGTTAAAGACTAGTATATACCATCTTTTGCAATTAAATAAAACAATATTAAAGTGAATTCTATTATACCCTGTTACTCAAATTTGAAAAAGAACGAGAAATTAAATATTCGTTTGACAGATTTAAATAATATATGTTTATTTACTTTAGATATCGATCTTATATTTAAATATGTTTGAAATTATAAAAACGAAATAGTTAAAGAAGACATTATAAAATAAATTTTATTTTACAAATTAAACAACTTAACCTTAACAGTAACGTCCAATATTTTCTTAATACTGTTTTATGAATGTTAGGGGAATTACCTGTCATTACGAAAGGGTGTAAACACGGGAACTATGAGTCCTCTGAAAGTGAACGGTGTTTTCTATAATTAAGAATTAACAAAATTTGATTGGTACGCTTGCATAGCTATAGAAGAGTTTTGAAGTCGATGGAGGTTATTTCGATTAGTGTTCGGCCTCCCTTGGGAAAAATTTTAATGGGAGATTTTAGAGGCCAAAATAAGTCGAAAATCAAGGATACTAATTTGTCGATTGAAGCTTCGTTAAAAAATTATAGAAACATTTCCGGCCACACAGTATATTATCAGTAAAGAATTTTGTTCTCAAAAGTACGTAGGATTTCGGGGGTATGTGTATTCACCAAAAATGATTGTAATTGACCCCTGCAACCGAAAATAATTTTTTTAGAACCATTTGATACTTTTCAATTTCGCCGAATTTCAGGGGAATCATTCATGATCAGACATTATATTTTCAGTAAAGAATTTTTTTCTCAAAAGTGGTTAGGATTTCAAGGGTATGTTTATTGATCATAAATGATTGTAATTGACTCCTGCAACCAAAAATAATTTTTTTATAACGATTTGAAATTTTTTAATTTAATTTTTTAATAACTTTTTAACTAAGCCTCAATCCAGAAATTGATATTCTTGATTTTCGTCTTATTTTGGTCTTTAGAATTTCCCATTAAAATTTTGTCTCAGGGTTGGTCAAACACCCTGTATATTAAGTTTGTAAAATTAGAGTTTAAGGTAAACGTTAAGGAAGAGTCAGTTCGTTTTCAACAACCTAAAAATATAAATAACGACCATCAAAGAATATTTTAAGAAAAGGTCCCCAACGAGACTTGAACTTATTACAATTAATTTGTTATATCTTATAAACTATTAAACTGTTCTCAGAATTATTTATTATTAACTCTAATATTTTAGGTCCTATCACGGTGCAAACATTTTACTTAAAAGCCAATCTTACACCTGGAGACCTCTCTTTGAGATTTTATTTCCACGATAACGCGGCTTTTAGTTTTCACAGTGACAAATTCACTGTCAGAATGTAAATTATGGCTCGACGTCACGCGAACACTAGTAGCGTCCGTGATAACAGTCGTATCACGAAGCGAATAATGGTATTATCGTCGTACAATTAAAATATTTTAACGTATATTAGAATTAAAACGATCTCATTAATTTTAACGAACACTTTATAATCTGTGAGTGTCTTTTACAGTGTTGTAATTAGTGCATACGCGAATACGTACCGGCATCGTGGAATGCGTGGTGAACTTGCACAGAACTAATTGGCATACTGTACAAAACTGAACGAAGTGGAATATTTTTAGTCTGCCTCTGATAAGATTGTGTTCAAGTTATATCGGTATCTTCGTTGACGTTTTTCATTTTTAATCTTAATTACATAAATGGAACAATTTCTTTGACATAATCTGTGAAATATTTTGAACGTAGAATGTGTAAACTATGCGAATATCTAAGAAACGATAGGTTTTAAGATAAACATACCTCGGTACTTTTACACTCGGAATATGTTGATGTGTCAAAATCGAGCATAAAAAAAATTGGACATTACAATTTAAAAAACCAACATTGGCGTCTGTCTATGCCTCCACTTGCAAGAATACCATTTATGAATTGCTTGAAATAATCAAAATATGTTAAGGTTAGAATTTATATTTAACACTATTCCTACCACGACCGGTCAAATGACCGTTTTTAAAATTCCGTTTAGAATTTCCTATATACAACGTAATTGCATCGTCTTTCAACTTCACGACTTTTTCTAAAATATACGTATAATACTTTTTTCAATATTCACTTCTTTTTTTATTGTTTATTTTCTGAGAAAAATTTGTAGTCTGTCTTACCTACCATGACCGGTCATTTTACCGGTTGAATGATTTATATCTTTTTGTAACAGTATTATCTCGAAGACTCAATTCTGAAACTATGAAGTCGTTAAGCCGCGTCCCCACTGGGTCGGCTTTTGCCGTTCGGCACGGCCGATCGGCAAAAGCCGAGAATTGCGTCTACACTGCGTCCGCATCTGTCATCTAGCACGGCCGATCGGCACCCTAAGTACTTCTCGGCAAAGCCAAACACTGCATCGTCTTGGATAGCATGGCTTGAAAAGCCGACCGGCATGCCGACGAGTCGATCGGCACGATGTCGGTAACCATCAAAAGAGATCGTGCCAAGACACGAGAGCACGAAAGTTTCATGTCAATTTCGTTCCAAAACCATCATCGAGATACAAAGATACAGGAACTTTAAACGTTAATAACTTTTTAACAAAGCCTCCATCAACAAATTGGTATTCTTTCGCGATCGAACGGAAAATTTCACAGCGCGACGATTGCTACCTCCAGTTCTGAAAGGCCCAGGCAGGGCCATAAAGCCCCGTCTTGTAACCAAATATGGTCATAGGCGAAAGATTTTTTCCTCGTGCCCATATTTTTGCATAGTCGATGTTTCCGGAGCCCGTTTCTTCCTCCGATACGCGATTTTGGGGGTGTCAACCGAATTTGGTATTAACTTTTAGCTCGACCGATTGGTCATCGACTAAGGGAAGGAGGACCCATTTTCACACCCCGTTTGGGAGGAAAACTCTTTCCTCATACCTGAACGTGGTGGAGGAAGACTTCCAGGTCACCCCCAGAACGAGGGTGCCCGAGGTTTTCTCCCCAAGTCGAAGGCTACGTTAATTTATCGAAGAAAAAACGGGACTCCGGATTAGGACGCGACGAGTGGCCGCGCGTGTTTGACAGCTGTTTTATGGCTATACACAACGATTTGCAATTTTTTTTCTCCGTTGAAAAATTTAGACACCTAATTGGATTTTCAGTAAGGAATTTTTTTCTCGAAAGTGCGTACGATTTTGGAGGTATGTGTAATGATAAAAAATGATTGTAATTGATCCCCGCAACCGAAAATAATTTTTTTAGAACGATTTGAAAAATTTTTTTTCGCCGAAAAATTTCAGCACCTACTCGATTTTTTTTCTCGAAAGTAGATAGGATTTCGGAGGTATGTGTACTCACCAAAAATGATTGTAGTTGACCCCCGCAACCGAAAATAATTTTTCCAGAACGATTTGAAATTTTTGAATTTAATTGTTAATAACTTTTTAACAAAGCTTCCATCAACAAATTAGTATTCTTGATTTTCGTCTTATTTTGGCCTCTACTATCGCTCATTAAAATTTTTGCTAGAGGTGGCCGAACACCCTGTATATTCTTCTGCTACGTAAACTCGGACGCATCCAAAATCTTCGTTTTTTAGGCATTTTTTTTGCATTTGCTATTACTATAACTGCAGCAGCACCAGTTATTACTTCGTCGTCACTGTACATTTTTTGTGTACTGAAATGGCTTTGCCGCGGTGCATAGCAGTGGCACGGCCGTGCCGCCTTTTGCCGAACGCTGTGCCGATCGGCAAATGCCGAGCCGTGCCGACCCAGTGGGGACGCAGCTATCGGCAAATGCCGAGCCGTGCCGATCCAGTGGGGACGCAGCTTTAGAAACGAAAGATAATGCAGTTGTGGCATGATTTTAGCTGAAAAGTGCCTTCCAGAGACTGCTTTAGGCACTTTCAAGTGTTTATAATTCTCACTCGCCTATCGGCCTTACGGTGTTTATTTGCCAGACTGGTATCTGAAGTGGTTCAAAACCTCGGATTTTCTTACACCATCTTATCTATTATAACTGTAAAATAAATAAAATCATAACCGAAGGGGATGCCTAGACGACTTCTCACGAATTCAAATCAGTAAAGTCTTGTGATTCGAATAGAGAGCATCAAAACGTGAAAGTTGCCTGGAGCATATTCGGCAGTCATTTATTATTTTATATTTTTATTCTATCATTATTCTACTCTTATTTTATCTGAATAAAAGAAACTATATTTTTATACTGTAAAATTGGCTATTATCTTCATTCTATATTAAAAAATATAAGTTGTGCTGAAAACCGGTCATTTGACCGGTCGCGGTAGGAATAGGTATACGTGAAGTGTCGGTAGGAATAATGTTAATATTTAATCACGCTGTATGTTTGCTGTCACTTAAGATTTAGCGTATATACGGTCCGGGTGAATAAATAACAAATATTAGGACTATTTATAAAAATGCCTTTTATGTTTATTTACATGTAGATTTTCTTTCTCTCAACAATGCCGATGATATATTAACACAGTATCGTAGTGATAAATTATATATTAGATTCAAAACGGCCGCATGCGTTTTCGGTTTTATAGGTATTACGTGTACGTTTGTTTCTCGAAATGAGAACGCAGACTATTCGAGAGTTTATATAGTAACGCCAAAGAGAATTTTATGTAATGTTAACACGCTACTCGTATAATGTTTTCTTCCCCCCCGTTTTGTTTCTTCACTTCAATTCACACGAGTATCACTTAAATGCAACGAAATTCATTCTACGACGTTTCTGGCGTGTACTAATAAAATAATTGTTCGTTTATTGATACGTTTATTCTCTCTATCCTCGTACCTTTTCGATAACTGTCGCGACTCGTCAGATCCGACGTAGCGGCAAATATCTAATAACTACTAATATAATGTTAGGACTCGCCTGGGCGGTCTTTCCGTTTAAATAATCATTTCTCGCGTACACCTTACGAAAACGTGTCCTTTTAACTTACATCTTGCCATTAACATTAGATGAGATTAAGATGAGAAACGAAAAAACGTAGAAACGATTCAGGGCGGATAATTCGGTCTGTAAAAGACTAGAAACAAAAGATTAACATCAATGTAATCACGCGATAATAGGAACAAATTGAAACTGACTAGAAAATATCATTGATTACGAATTCACCGGTTACGATGTTCCAGTTTCTTGGATCTTTCGTTGGAACAAAATCACAAACGATTTTCTCAAACGAACGTTTGTGTTTCGACACGACTGATACGGAAAATTTTTTTATCGATGCAAACACTCGAGTCTCGACTAAGTTTCGATTGCAAAAATTCTTTACCGTGGATTCGTTTTCGCACGTTTCCAAAAGAAAAGCGTACAGCACGTACGATCTAAAGAAAAATTGGCTAATTTATCAATTACGTACTAAATTGTGGCACAAATCGGACCGTCAAGTGTCACTGGAATTCATTTCTGCCTCGAACATCGACGTATATTCGCGAGATCGTTGCGATCTGTAATTGCTTCGAACATATTTACTTCCAGATACAGTGTTAACGTTTACGTAAGAACGTTACATTCAAGTGGTGACGTAACCAGAAGACGTAGATAGTTATCAGAGAAAATACGTCCTCGATTCAACGACATTTCACGATACTGTGAAACACATTTAAAAATAGGCTACAAAGTGTACATAATGAGATTAAAACGAAAACGCGCGTTCCGAATTTCGAGTACATCATAAAAGCATAAATTAAAAAATTGTACAAGTATACAGGGTGTTCATACAATCCCTGGGAAAAATTTTAATGGGAGATTCCAGAGGCCAAAATAAGACGAAAATCAAGGATACTAATTTGTTGATGGAGGCTTTCTTAAAAAGTTATTAACATTTAAAGTTACGACCGTACTGAATTTTTTTCTAGAAAGTGGGTAGGATTTCGGGGGTAGATCTATTCACCAAAAATTATTGTAATTGACCCTCGCAACAGAAAATAATTTTTCCAGAATGATTTGAAACTTTCTTTTGCCGAAAAATTTCAGCACCTGTCGTTTTTTCTTAAAAATACGTTTTTGATTTTTAACAATTTTGTTTGACGTCTTACAAAAAAGTTGTCTAATACTTTTTTGTAGGTATCTATAAGCTCTACTTCAAAAAAAGTAAAAGTAGTATTCACTATTGCAGGAGTTATGGCCGTTTGAAAATTGAACCAATTTTAAGGGGTTTTTCTAACTTTACGGGGTCAAGGAACAATTTTTTCAATATTAATAGAATTTCTATATATGCTCCACCAAAGTACGCATTGTTTGCCTTTTGAAACATTAAAATTTGTCAATCCGTTCAGGAGTTATGACGTTTTAAAGATACACCAGAAATTTTGGAGTGACATTTCTGGCCTGAAATTATATTTTCGGTAAAGAATTTTTTTCTCGAAAATGGTTAGGACTTCAAGGGTACATCTATTGACCATAAATGATTGTAATTGACTCCTGCAATCAAAAATAATTTTTCCAGAACGATTTGAAATTTTTTAATTTTGTCGAAAAATTTCACACCTTCTTGAATTTTTTTTTCGAAAGTGCATAGGATTTCGTGGTATGTCTATTCACCAAAAATGCTTGTAATTGACCCCTATAACTAAATATAATTTTTTCAGAATGATTTGAAATTTTTGAATAGTTTTTTAATGAAGCCTGTCAAGAAATTGATATTCTTGATTTTCGTCTTATCTTGGCCTCTAGAATCTCCCATTAAAATTTTTTCCAGGGGTGGCCGAACACCCTGTATGATTGAAAATGAAATAAAGACGAAGACGTGCAAGGTAAATCCTATTCGTTCGTTCTTCGATCGAGAAAAGCATGATTTCTGTTTTATTTCTAAATAATTTACAATAAGAAATTGCAAATAACTTTATTTTAAAAACATTTTATTTGGAAACGCTTATAAAAATGATCATTTGACGTGCATACGTTTGTTTCTGCATCGATTGAAACGTAAATTGTTT